GAAAGTGGCTATAAACACACTGAAATTTTCTTGAGCATCTACTCAGAAAAGACCCTGAGAAAAAAATGCTGATTTGCCTTCATAATTGTTAATTATGGAAAAAGCGCAGAGCTACAAGTATAAATGACATGTTTAGTTTTGCTTGGTATTCTAACTTAAGAACACAGAATTACAGCTAAATTAAGGAGCGTTTGGTTTTTCTGGCAGTGTTTCGTCATTACGATTAGCCTACAAGGATCTTGAAATTCAAATGAAGAAAGATGAAAAGATGAACACGAGTGGCAAGAAGAAGATGGAGTCGGAGAGGCTCGGCATGGGATTCGGAAACTGCAGAAGGTACGTGAGCCTCCGCTCTCTGGGGTTTCAGAATGTAAACCAGATTGCTAATCCCGAATGGATTTTCCCTGTGTTTTTTCCAACGTTAGCAGTATTTTCTCATTATTCCTTCCTTTCTTCAATGATTTTGGTTTACTCTAGCGTTCAATTTAGCATGAAAACTTCCAAATTTGATTCTTAGAAAAAAGGAAAACTGTCTGACTTGTCATTAAGTGGATGCCACAGGCATAACTGACTCTTGTGACTGTGTGTTGTGTGACTAGTTACTGTCCTCACTAAGGTCCGGTGTTTTTCAGTGCTTACACACACACAAAAAAAAACACAACAAGTTTTTATTGCTTATGTCTTTAACCTCACTAATCAATTTATTTTTGTTGAGACTGTAGATTAAACATTTATTCTCTGGTGAACGCAAGTGTCTTCATGAACTAATAGTTTTCTTCCATTTTATTCTCCGTTTTCTCAAGTGGTATTTCACATTCAGTGACTTCAGATATGCAGACCATTGAACAGGAAACACCGATCATAGCAAAACCAAGAAAAAAGTACAGCGATGACAATGATGATTCGTATTTTACCTCCAGCTCAAGGTAATCTGTGAAAAATCACCTCTGGCATTATTTTGAAAAAACAGCGATCAGTATGAACATAATAGTTTATTTGTACTAGGAGCAAATACAAGTCAGTTTACTTCATTGTTTTTAAAAGCTCTGGCTGGAGTCAAGAGTGTTCTTTGAAAAACTTGGGGAAACATTCATAAGTGAGCAATGTTTGCAAAGATTTAAATGTTTGATAATAAAATCAGCGACCAAGAGCTGAAATGAGAGGTTAAGAAAGCTGTGTTTACCTAAAAGAGGAAATGGGAGAAATCTGTGAATCCGGACCGTATGTGTTGTTTAGCCTCATTCCCACAGGCGGAACATTTCACAGCTGGAGAACACCCGCTCAGGAGTCCAGTCAGCAGGGCAGTGTGTGTAGTAAACTGTGTGTGTGCGTTCATTGATAAAAACGGCCCCGCTCAGAGGGGCTCCCAGGACGAAGCCTCCCCCGGCTCTGAGCGCTCACCATCCCGTCTGGCCCCACGAGGTGCCTGACTCCCTGGCACTGTGTGTCGCTGACCTGACTGTGGAGAGTGCGGGGTTCAGGTTCCAGCCGCCCGAGGGCAGGGAGAACGGGTTTGAACTTGCGTCAACTCCAACAGCATGTCCTGCACAGGGGGAGTCCTGCTAAAAAGGCACCAAGTCAACTCGGGAAATCACTCGGGGTGGGTGCAGCTGAGAAGCAGGCGGGGTGACTGCAGGCCCAGGAGCTAGACGGCCTGGATTCGGATCCTGCCTCTGCCCTTTGGTGGCGGTGCGACCTTGGCCAGGTCATTTAACCTCTGCGCTCCAGCGTCTTCATCTGTAAGTTAGGGATACGAGCAGCATCTACTTCAGGGTTGGTGAGGGTTAAACGGGTTACTACAAATGGAGCGTTTGGAATAGCGTTTGGCTATTATTAATGTTCTGTTAAGCTGCTGTAATTACATAGAAACTCAACTCGAGACGTGTGACTTGGTGTCAGTGTTCAATTACCGTTGTTAGATACTTAACCACACTGAGGGCCAGGTTCACATTGGAGTTTGGGGAAATCCAATGTGTGCCTGTCAGTAACGGGCGGTCCCCAGGAGACCCCTCACTCCCACCGCGAAGGGCCGCTGAGCTGGGCGGCCGCACAGGTGGCTACGCAGGTGCCAAGCGTTTTCATGTAGATAACAGACTCACGCTTCTCTATTCTGCTGTCACGGTTCCTGGAGGGTCTGTCCCTAAAAATTCTCTAAGCGGAGCTTCAGATTATTTGGAGTTCAGACATTTTACCAAAAAAAAAAAAAAAAAAAAGTCAGTGGCATCGCAGTGTCCCCCGTGGGCACTTTGAGACCCGGACGGTTTTGTATTTGCCTGCGGTGAGTGACCTGGACAGCTCACCGGGTTTCCGTTTACTTAGAGGTGACACCCGAACAGCGCTTCGTAAACCTATGTAAATGTTTTCTATGGGGTAAAATTACGTGTTTAACTTGATTCGGAAGCTGCGTGCAGGTCAGTGCTTCAGGAACGCGTGTTAGATGGTGGGGCGTCCGGGCCAGCGGGGAGGGCGCGGCTTCCACATCGCCCCTCGGGCCTCCCCACAGCACCTTGATTATTCCCTGCTCACTAGTAACTCCTGCAGAGGAGAGCGGGAAGGAAAAGTAAATGCCGCTTAAATCACTGCTGCTGGGTAGCAAGCCCTGAGAAACTTCCGGAGAGCCGCCGGGCTCCTGCTCGCTGACAGGTTCCTGGGGCCTCACCTTGTCCGGAGCCTCAGGGCCCCTGCGGGCCTCTCCTCCAAACGTGGTCGGAAGGGCCCCGAAGGCCTTTGTTGCTATGAAACAGTTACTTACGGTCTGAAACCTGGGAGCAGATGGTGTTTTCACAGAGGCCACACTTGCCGGCTTCCTGGCAGAGAGACCTTGGTGCGCTGTCTGTCACGAGGAACAGACGCCTTCTCGAGTCCTCCTTGGTCGTAGCCACCGTTAGAGCAAGGGCGCCCGCAGGGCTTGGCAGCCGAGGCACCTCCAACGTGGACTTTCGGAAAGCAGGCATATTAGTTCCACGAAGAGCTCTCATTGCTTCCAAATTATTCATTAGCCCATTAGAACTTGAATATTATGAATTATGGAAGAGTGCTGTTTCTATTAAAAAGAAGATCAGCCGTATCTTTGGTTTTCGTTTTTTATTGCGTTCCATTATTTCCAGGATGTAAATAATGTAATTATGTATTGAGTACAAAATACTGAAACTAGAACAGTTTGCTCAGCCTTAGGAAGCAGCGTGGCCTTCGGTGGAACGAGCAGGTGTCTATAGCTGTAAATTGGATGTGTGACATTAGGGTGTTCTTCTCAAGGGATTTCATGTAATGTTTTCCGGGTTGATGAAGACAGAGGGGGAGGGCAAAAATAAAAGTAAAGACATTGATCTAGACATGAAAACATTAGAAAGTCAGTGAAGGTTTGGACGTCAGATTTGGAGGCTGTCGTGTCTCTGAGGGAAGGCAAGGGGGCCATGGCCATTTGTCCGTCCTGTCACCCTGTCCTTCCAGTGGGCAGCTGGAGCCCTGGCCGGCCGTCTGTCTGTCCCCCAGTGAGTTGCCACGTGCCTCCTGCATTGTGTGGGAGCACAGAGAGCCTCTCGTGGGGGGATGGAAGGAAGAGACGCCCCGCCCCACCCCAGCACCTGAAACTATACAAACGTAACAGGCTCTGGCTAATCAGTAGGGTCCCAGGGGAATGGCGCTCTCTCCTGAGTTTGGAGCAGTCCATCATTTTTTAAAAATCTGATGCTCCTACGTACCAGGCTAAGCACTTTGGTTTGTGTGAGTGACGAATGCTTGCCAGAGTGACAGTCAGCACAGCCACGTGAGGGCAGGAGCCGAATGCCTCTCCTTGGCCTGCGTCCTCACTTCACAGGCATTATTAAGTGTGTTTTAAGTTCCTCATTGAATTGGTTTTAGGTCTTTCCCTTGGGCCCTTACAAATAAGTCTCTCAAATATCTAAAGATAACTCTCCAGACCAACAAGGGTCTCACATCTTTCACACCTCCTTTCTCTGATGTGACATCGAGTCACTTCGTTGTCTTAGTCCCATCTCCAAGAAGGGACAGTCAGTTCCTCCACGCAGAGCCCGTAGCTCATGGCTGCTGCACCCGTCAGCACCGGAGAGCCTGGGCAGCTTGCAGCTGGAGTCCAGGTGCGTTTGGGACACGGCACGTTCCCTTCCTGGAGAGAGAAGGCTAGTGTGATGACATTGGTCCTCAACGACCCACTTGCCAGAGAAGGCAGAAGCCGCATTTGGAAGTTCTGCTTTCTCCCTATTATCCACATAAAGTCACACTGTCTGCTTCAAATGGCAGACATCCCTGCTCCCTTTTCTGTTTGTTATTTTTTTTTTCTGCCAGGAAAAGGTGTATGTTTGTTCTTAGCATTTCCCCCCCAAATCTTAGCTCATCTGGGTCCCTGGCCTCTCTGTCCTGCTAGGTACCTGCCATCTTCTTCATCTTTGGTCACAGGCCCCTCCGGCGTTCGGTTTGCCATCTCTGACTGGCTCATTATGGCTGTCGAGCGTGGTGCTACCTCGTTCCTTGTCCTCCTTACTCTCTGCAGAAAGCCTAGATGACATTTTGAAAGCCTCTACATGGTCTTCCCCCATCCTTCCTTCCCTAGGCCTAAGCCTTAGAATTTTCTTCTCTCTTCTGAACTTCTCGAACTCCACCTTTACAAGGAGTGCGTATCTGGCCGGGCTTTTTCCACCCTAAGCCGTCATGAATTCTGAGATGGCACAACTACTTTTTAGTAAGGCCCTGGCACGTCCCCCTCACAGTATCAGTCAGTCTCTGTCCTGTCCTGCAAACCCTGCTGCCCTCGGTCAAGGATTTTCCTCTCACCACGTAGGACAGAAAGCTGCTCTTTGCTCCTGGGCAGCGAACGCCCTGCTCAGTGGTGCTCGGCTTATGAAAGTACAAACCGCCCCAGAAGGCCAGCGTCTCCTCTGAGATGTTCAGATCAAGTTCATGTCAAGCCCAGACTGAAAGGGCATCTGCAGGTGATCCAGTTCAGTGACCTGTGGCTTTGCATCTGACTCCAGAAGGAGGCTAATTAGCGTCCTGTACATTGAGGGGGAGTTAGTGCTGGGACCGAAGCCGGTTGCCATGGCTGCGGTGGCGGGTATTGCCAACAGGAAGCCAGCTCCGCGGAGGTGGTCCGTCCTCCAGGCCCAGCAGCGTTATTTGTGACCGCCTAACTAGGCAGAACTAGGCCCACAGAAAACGAAATGTAACCTATGGTGAGTCACGCTTAAAGATGCCATGTGCTGCCCGGATAGGCTAGGTTATGCTGCGGTGACAAACACCACCCCCTTCCCAGATCCTAACGCACCGTGGTTTATTTCTTGTTCACTAAAGTCAGCGGAAGGTACAGGTGATTGTCTAGATTACCTGTCCTTCAGGTGGCACTTTGATAGTCCAAATGGGTACAGTTTTCACCTGCCTGAGGCTGCAGCACCTGGAAAACACTACCTCTTCTGTCTGGCAGGGTGAGCTGAGCACGGGCACTGTAAAGGCCTTGGAAATGATTTGCCTTGTGTCTGCTCCTGTTTCATTGGTCAGATCCCATGGCCGCCCCCAGCTTCGAAGAGGCCGGAAGTGCAGCCCCACGTACCCGCTGTGGGTGGGATCAGTAAGGGCCTCCAAAGTCACCATTCTACTCTTCTTCGTGCAGGTACTTTGACGAACCGATAGAGTTAAGGAGCAGCTGTTCTTCCAGCTGGGATGACAGTCCGGATTCCTATTGGAAAAAGGAGAGCATCAAAGACGCCGACACGATTCTGAAGGCCACGGGCTATTCAGACAGGTACGAACAGCAGAACAGCGGCCTTGCAGATCGCGAACCCACGACTCTCGGGAAAGTCTCCAAGACTAGTAAATGATTTTGTTCTACCATTTCAAGAATATTCTCCAAATCCTGGTCTGTATTCCGACCTTGCGATTTTGCCCTTCCCAGGATGTGGCATAAGTGGATCGGGCAGTCACCGGCCTTTCTGGACTGGCGTCTCGGACCTTCCTGAGTGTACCTGAGACTCATTCGTGTTCACTCCTCTTTGTCGTTGAGTTTGTTTATCCATTCATTTGTCCAAAAACTCACCTGTTTAGGGATTAGAGTGAAGGACGATAGAACTTATTGTCCAAACCAAGGAACTGTTGAGTACAAGGGGACACTGTTAATACTTGGGGACAACAGGTGTAGCGAGGGGTTGTCCCGGGTAGCTGGAATATTGGTCATCCTACTCACTCCGTCCCACTGACGTGGAGCGGCGTGTGGCCTGCCTTACGGTGCCGTCAGTTTTTGCTAATTGATCTGTGGAACTGCAGAGTGAAACCTATTTTTAATGGAAAATTCCTTCAAATGTTGTGTGGTTTGGATGTTTATTCATTTTTTATTAGAATTTTCATTTTAAAAGTGGCCTGAAATCCTCTTATAAAACTACTGCTGTCAGCTTTTTAAAAAGTAAAATGGCATGCGTATGCATTATAAATAAGAAACGCATTGGCTTCCCAGATTAGTTTAACCTGTTTTGCTGTTTGTTCGTTTGTTTATGGTTCTTTGTGTGTATTGAGACTGCTTAAGATCTACTCACTCAGCAAATTTCAAGAATACACCACAGCATTTTTAACTGGAGTCACTATGCTGTGCATGAGGTCCCCAGAACTTAATTCATCTTACAGATGAAGAGGTGTGCCTTTTGACCAACATCTGACCGTTTCCCCCACCTCCCAGACCCCGGAAACCACTGCTCTATTCTGTTTCTATGAGTCTGACTTTTTTTTCTTAATTTTGAATTCCACTTATAAATGAGATCATACAGTATTTACCTTTTTCTCTCTGGCATATTTCATTTAACGTCTTCCAGGTTCATCTATGTCACAAATGGCAGGATTTTCTTTGATACGGCAGAATAATATTACATGGTGTATATCCACCACATTTTCTTTCCCCGTCCACATGTCATCGACAGCCACTCAGGTTGTTTCCATATCTTGGCTGTGGTGAATAATGCTGCAGTGAACGTGGGAATGCAGATATCTCTTCAAGATACTGATTTTGTTCCCTTTAGATACACACCCAGAAGTGGGATTGCTGGATCACATGGTAGTCCGTTTTGAGTTTTCTGAGGAACCGTCATACTGTTTTCCATAATGGCTGTGCTAATTTATGTTCTCACCAGCAGCATGCAAGGGTTCGTTTTTCTCCAGCCCTCGCCAACACGTATCTCTTGTCTTTTTGATCACCGCCTTTCTAGCAGGTGTGAGAGGACATCTCATTGTGGTTTTGGTTGGCGTTTCCTGGACGGTTAGTGCTGTTCAGCACCTTTTCATGTGCTAGTGGCCTGTAAACTTCCCTCTTAGAACTGCTTTTGCTACATCCCATACATTTTGGTATGTCGTTTCCATTTTTACTTGTTTCAAGATATTTTTTGATTTCTTCTTTGACCCTTTGGTTGTTCAGGAATCTGTTATTTTCCACTATTTGTGAATTTTCCAGTTTTCCTCTTGTTATTAATTTCTGCTTTCATATCATTGTGGTTGGAAAAGATACTTAATATGATTTCAGTCTTCATAAATTAGGACCTGACACATGATTCAGATTTGTTTTATGATGTAACGTGTGATTTATCCTGGAGAATGTTCTTTGTGCCCTTGAGAATGTGTGTTCTGCTGCTATGAGATGGAATGTCCTGAATATGTCTGTTGGTCCATTTGGTCTAATACATAGTTCAAGTTCAGTTTTCCTTGTTGATTTTCTGTCTGGATGACCCATCCACTGTTGAAAATAGGATATTGAAGTCTTTTATTGTTGTAGTACTGTCTATTTCTCCCTTCAGATCTTGCTTAATATATTTATTAATGTGTTAATATTAATGTTAATGTTAATATGCTAATAAGTATATTGGGACTGATTTGGGGAATGATAAATATTGCTTGATATATTTAGGTGCTCCAGTATTGGGTGCATATATATTTACACTTGTTATATCCTCTTGATGAATTGACACCTTTATTGTTATATGATGACCTTTGTCTCTTGTTACATTTTTTGGCTTAGAGTCTGTTTCGTCTGATATAAGTGTGTTCCTGCTCTCTCTTGGTTTCTACTTGGGCGGAATATCTTTTTCCATCTCTTTATTTTCAGCCTATTCGCGTCCTTAACACTGAAATGAATCTCTTGTAGGCAGCATGTGGTTGTGTCTTGTTTTTTTGTGTTTTTTTAATCCATTCAGCCACTCTATGTCTTTTGATTGGGAAATTCAATCCATTTACATTTAAAGTAATTATCGATAGGTAAAGATTTATCATTGCTATCTCATTCATTGATTTCTACTTGTTTGCAGTCCCTTTGTTCTTTCCTCTCTTGCTGTCTTCCTTTGTAATTTGATTCCTCTCTGTCTTTTGAGTATCTACTGTAGAATTTTGTTTCGTGACTACCCTAAGGCTTACATGAAACATCTCATAGTTATATCAGCCTGTTTTAATCTGATGACAACTTAGATTGCAGATGAAAACTCTATCCTTTTACCCCCGCTATCTAGGTGTTATGTTTTTGGTGTCACAGTTCACATCTTTTTACGCTGTGCATCCACTAACATTATTGTCGCGATAGTTACTTTTACTGCTTTGTCTTTTAAGCTTTATACTAGAGTTAAGTGATTTACACACCAGCATCACAGTATTAGGGGATTCTGAATTTGACTATATACTTAACCTTCACCAGTGAGTTTTATACTTTCATATGTTTTCATGTTACTAGTTAGCATTTTTTCATTTCAGCTTTAAGAACTCTTTTTAGCATTTCTCGTGAAGCGAGTCTAGTGGTTAGCAGTTTTGTTTTTCCTTTCAGTATATTACCCCACTATCCCCTAGCCTGCAAGGCTTCTGCTGAGAAATCTGCCGATAGCCTTACGGGAGTTCCCTGTATGTGATGGATGAGTTTCTTTTCTCAGGCTGCTTTTAAAATTCTCCGATTTTTTTTTTTTTTGGATTCTAATGTGTCTTGGTGAAGACCTATTTGGACTGAATCTGTTTAGAGACCTATTAGCTTCTTGTACCTGGATGTCCATATCTCTCCCCAGATTTGAAATTGAAATTTTTTGCCATTATTTCTTTAAATAGGCTTTCTCTCTCTCTTTTCCTTCTCGGTCTCTCGTAATGTCTAAATTGTTTTCTTGATGGTATCCCATAATTCATGTAAGCCTTTCTTCACTCTTTCTCATTTTTCTTTTTTTTTCCTCCACTGACTGGGTAATTTAAAGTAAATTATCTTTGAATTCACAGGTTCTTTTGTCTGCTTAACTATGTCTGCCGTGGATGGTCTTCGTTGCATTTTTCATTCTGTTCATTGTATTCTTCAGCTCCAGAGTTTCTGTTTGATCCTTTGTCATGATTTCTACCTCTATGTCTAATTTCTCATTTTGTTTGTGTATTACGTTCCAGATTTCATTGAGTTGTCTCTCTGTGTCCTTATGGGTTGCTAAGCTTCCTTAAAACAAATATTTTGAATTCTTTGTCAGGCAATTTGGGGTCAGTTACGGGAAAATTATAGTGTTCCTTTTGTGGTGTCATGTTTCCTTGATTTTTCACGTTCCTTGCTGTCTTTGTATTTGAAGAAGCAATCACCTGCTCCAGAATTAATGACTGACTGGCTTTGGGTGAGAAACGCCATCAACAGTCAGCCCTGCTGGGCTTCTGAGGCTTTTTTGGGTCCTTTCCATGGACACACCTACTCCATACATCTCATTCGCTTTTGAGGGGGGTGAATTCTTAAGATGGTATATCTTCTCGTAATCCCACAAAGCCCGGGCCAGGCGCTGAGAGCCTCCTGTCTGCTTTTCCAGGATTGTGCCCTGAGATGCTCAAGTATGTGTGTGCTCTCCCAATTCCACAGCGTGGGGCTGGCTTTCTGCACATGCTCAGTAGCTGTCTGCAAAGGCTTGCACTCACCGTCTGCATGTGCAGGGAGCCAGCCATGGGGAGCGGGGAGCGGGGCACGTAGTGAAGTGCACAGACCACTGGATGTCAGCTGTGGGCCATTTGGGGGCTCCAGAGACAAAGTGCACCCAGAGGCTTGCTAGTGGGCCACCTCATGGCATCTGCAAAGCCCAAAGTAGGATCCGTGTGCCTTTGATGGTTTCAAGCCCCGGCTGCTATGCTTCCAGCCTCTCCCAGCCCCTAAGCCATACAAATCACCTCAGTATCCTGGATGGGGTCACAAAGAAGTAGACACCTTGGCAATGACTCACACAGCTGGGGAAACCAGGTACCCACTCACCACCCTTTCACCTTCCACCGTGGGAGAAATTGTGGGCCAAGTGAATCTCTCTTGGCTCAAAGCTGTGTGTGTTGCCTGGGGGTGAGGCAGAGTAAAACTGTTTTGCCGTCTTCAGTGCGTCCAGTCTCGGATTCCTTGCACCACTGGTGTCCTGGAATCTCTCTGCGGGACTCGTGGACTCCCACCAAGGCGTTCTCGTCTGTGCGTGATTGTCAAAATCATTGTTCTGTAGGGGGCGATGGTAAAAAAACGCCTAATCCGCCATCTTGCTGATGTCACTACTATTTTGACTGTTTCTCATCATAGACCTGCGACTCGCCGCAAGCCAGACTATGAGCCAGTTGAAAATACAGACGAGGCCCAGAAGAAATTTGGCAACGTCAAGGCCATTTCTTCAGATATGTACTTTGGAAGACAAGCCCAAGCTGATGTAAGTGTCTGGAGAGCTTCTGTGTGGGCCCCCCCAGCGCAGGACGCAGGCAGGGGCCTGGGAGCCGTGCGAGCAGGTGATGGACGCTGAGTGAGGGGCACTCAGGCTGCGAGAGGCCCCAGGCCTGAGAGCTGGAGCCAGAATGCGAACCCACGGCCTCCTGCCTGACCACTGCTCCTTGCTGCCCCAGCCGCAGCAGCGATGGGAAGATGGGCACTGCGGGTTAAATTTCTCTCATTCCTTTCTCAGTGCTTTGAATAGCCGTCCATTCAATATCTTTTGAATAAATTTCAAGCAATTTTTGATACAGCTACAATACACTTAGTGATTTTGAACCATAGTTAAATGAAGTATCTAGATATGTTTGTGGAGGGTGGATGTATCTATTTGCAGGTGGTTGCATCTTTTCTCGGAAATGTTAGCGAGCTTGTCTTGGTGGAGTCTTGCTAAGCGGCGGTGAGACTCAGATGCGAATGCAGAGGTTTGTGGTTTCCTCATTCTGAACGCTCCTGTGTTAACACAAAGCCCCTGGTGCCGCGTGTGTTACGGGGCTGCGGGACTCTCCAGGGAATTCCGTCCTGAGGCATGCTGACGTTGCTTTACGTGGCAGTAGACCTTTCAAGTTCTTCGAGAGTACTTAGAGTCACCACCAGGCTTTTCCCCAACCCCTAAGATCTGCCTTGTTTTCAAGCTGACGACGTTCAAGTTCAGTTACAGAATAGTGGGTGTTGGGAGAGGGCCTCTTGGAGTCGCCTCTCCTGGCAGCTGGGCGGGAGCAGCCCTGTGACGGCAATGTCATTCCCTCACCTCGCTCTGCTTTTCCCCTCGCCCTGGCCGTCCTTGGCCATGGCGCTGTGTGGATCTGTCCGCTTGTGACGTGCAGAAGGCCAGCGTCACGCCGTCCCCGGTCCCAGCCGTGGCCGTGGTATTCAGCGGCTCTTGGGAAGAGAGTGCCTGGGGGACCAACACATTCTAATGGCGGCTCCTCGGTGATTGTTTTGTAAAGGCGCTCATGGCACTCAGACCCTGATGTCTCCTTTTCCTGGTCTTGTGCAGTACGAAACCCGGGCTCGGCTGGAGAGGCTCGCGGCAAGTTCCTCCATAAGCTCAGCCGATCTGTTTGACGAGCAGAAGAAGCAGCCGGCAGGTGAGTGGGGGTGGTCAGGGGGCAGCAACAAGACTTGGTCTCTGTCGTGTCTGTGGCATGAATACATTTTCTCTGAATAGGACATTTTACTTTTCCAAGTTCATGAGTGACCGTCCTCTGTTAAGTGAGGCAGAGCAGAGCTGTTATCTCAGGCTTACACGTGAGCAGGCGAAGCCATGAAGTCTCAGCAGCACCCCCAAGCTCCCCACCAGTCATCCCCCGAAACACTGCCGCACACGGGCGTTCTGGCACAGGGCATCCGTGTGGAGGCGCGGTCGTGGAGGCGGGCAGCCCCGGGCTCCCGGTGACACCTTGGTTATTTCGTGGCGCCTCTAGCCTCGGTCTCGTCTGTAAAGTGGGTGGATATGATCTACCTCACAAGTTTGTGCTGAGGCTTGAGTGACGTCCTATGCATGAAGTGCCAGCCCGGCCTCTGGCACGTGGCAGGCTTCCCAGAAGGAGATGGGACAGGGGACTCCGCCAGCCTTAGTCCTCCAGGAAAGACCGAGGGTGCTTCCTTTGGAAACAGGAGGTGGAGAGGGACCACCCACCTCCCACACCCCTCATCATCAGGGCCCAGCCTCTAGTGGGGAGGGGCCTGGGAGCCCCAGGGAGCGAGCCCAGGACGTCCAGAGCCGTGTCTCTCTCCACTCTCCCTCTCTGTCCTGAGCTGTAGGAAAGCCGGGTCCCTCAGCCAGGCCACAGGGGGAAGGAAAGTGCCGTGTGTCCCTCTTGTGTCACGGCTGACGTTAAAGTTGTCGACAGCCAGGCATCAAGGCCCCGCACTGCCTGTGTCCCTCATCTCCAGCTCTGGAGGAGCTGGGCGTTGGCGTGGGGTGACCAGCCTGGGCGGCCACTTGGTCATGTAGCTTCAGAGAATAACTGCTCCAAGTCCAGAGGGAAACGGCCTCAACAGCGGAGGTCACAGGACAGACCTGAGGGTACGGGCCTCCTGTGTCGGGGTTCGAGGGTTAGAAGGCCCACTGGGGCCCTCTGGCTGCTCTGGGCACTGCTCGGCGGCTGCGCTGTGGTGAGAAGGAGGGGTGCTTGCTGAACCAGGGGGTGCTGACTGCAGAGGCAGATGGAGTCCAGGGCCGGGTGGCTGCGTGGTACCCGTCGGCCGGGAGCACCCCGCGCTTCACCCGTCCCCTGGAGCGGGAGGGCTGGGCGGTCTGGGTCAGGCCGCGTTCTGCTGGCTGTTTCCCACGCTGAGAGGGTGGCGTGGCTCGCAGTCCCACCTCCGCCCCCCATGGGTTGGTGCTGGGTCATCTCGCAGGAGCCCTGGCACAGAAGCAGGTCAGTCCAGAGAGGCTAAGGGTTGGAAGCCACACCAGCAGTGTGCGTTTTGGTAATTCACGGTGCTGGCAGTTTTGCTCTGAAATATTATTGTTTGCTAAAGAACCTGTTACAGATCAAAGGAGAGCAGGCTTTTCAATCGTTGAGGGAAAATTGTGGCCAGCCCATGTTTACCTTCCTGTCCTCTTTCAGAGAACAAAAGGTCTATTAATTTTTTTGGCCCCACATGGGTCCCAAACAAATCCTGGTCTGTGGGACCCTGCCATCATTGTGGGGGAGCACCCTGGGTGCCGGGCCACCCAGAGACCTCCCCGCCTCCTGCCTGGCCAGTCTGTGGTGGGCGCCTCAGCACCAGGCCTACTGCAGGTGTTACGGGAACTGGTAGTGGGGGAGTCGGGGGAGGCCCGGCCCAGCCTTCAGGCCAGGGAGCCACTTCCTGAGGAAGCGCTGTCATCTTCTGGAGCCCATTGTGTAGCCCGAGCCCACTTGGGCAGCCCTCAGAGGAGACACAGCTTCCAGATGCCAGAGGAGGAGGGAGGCTTTGCCAGACACAGGAAAAATTTGGTCACTGTTCTCAAATTTGGAGCCCAGGGCAGCTGCTCTGCAGGGGAGAGGGTAGAAGGGTACGTCCTTGCTGGGGACCTGTCACCCGCTCCAGGAGTTGCCAAGTTACTTATACCCCCAGGAGCTTAGATCATGAGTGAGGATTAAGTAAGTAATGAAAATGCATAGTAACAAAGGCTGAGTCAGATCTGAGTTTGTTTCTCTCACGTACAGTTCTGGGGGGACAGGGGGCAGTTGAGGACAGTGCGCTGTGCTCCCTGCGTCAGGAACCCAGGCCCCTTCCATCTTGTTGCTCATGACCTCCATTCTTTACTTCCCCCTCATGCCCAATATGGCTGTTCCAGCTCTAGCCATCACATCTGCATTCCAGCTAGCAGGAAGGAGAAAGAGGGAAGGAAAGGGGCATGTCTAGCCCTGGAAGGCACTTCTGCCTACATCCTGCTGACCAGACCTCTGTCACTTGGACACACTTTGCTACAAGGGTTAGAGTTCAGGAGTTCTGTACAGAGAAGGGGAGGAAAGGAATGTCCCTGGGGGTCTGACAGCCACCTCAGGGCACATGGGGACTGAACGTAGTCAGTGAGGGATCATTGTCCCCAAGCTGCTCTGCCCAGGCCCAGAGCAGGTTCTAAGGAGGGGCCGGACGTTGGGAGGCTCTGGGCCTGCCTCAGCTGTGCTCTCCTCTGGAGCTGGAAACTCGTAGGTGGAGGCGCTCCTACTGAGGTCACCCCCGCTGACCTCTGGTCCCCACCGGTGCGGCCGCTCTCGCTGTGTAAGGAGCAGCTGTAATCCTGGCCTTTCGTGTTCAGGATCTCGCGCTGCCTCCTCGTTTGCCAGAATGACCCATTTGACAGGCTGGCAGCACTGCTGGTAAGTGGCTGTGGGGATTTAAATCCAGATCCCGTCACAGGGCTGGGCTTCTGCTCTGTCACTGGCAAAGGCCAACACAATTTTAAAAAGTCAGCTGGAGGCGGAGAGGGAACGACCCACACCCACGGCCCCTCCCCACGTGGCGGGCTTGGGAACAGCGCTGAGGGCGGACAGTGTCTCTTCTGGGTGCTGTCTGTGCTGAAGGACAAATGTGTCTGTTCTGTCTTGTTCTTAGAAAGGGGCAGGTGGGTATAGATGTGTGGAGCCAAGGGGGTAGCTGGGCTTGGCTCCCCAGAGGGCCTGCAGGGTTTGGGGTCACTCACAATCCCTGAGCCCCTCTGGCATTGAACCATAATCATGGGACAGAAGTTCACCATGAAACCCCGGCTGTCAGATTCACGTGTGATGACGCTGACCTGGTGCACTGCCCTTTGGCTGGTGGCAGCACGCTAGTGTAGCATTGGGCCAACCGAAACTTAAGTGACAGAAGCCCAGCTGACACCGACGTCAGCAAAGACGGTGAGGGACCGGCCCCTGCCCCTGGGAGGACTGGCCGTGAGCTTTGCTCCGGCTCAGAAAGCAGCGTCAGGACAGACTCACCCGTGTGGCTCACCTCCCTGGCGAGCCTCCCTGGTGCAGGCTTCCCCCACCCTTCCTTGAGCAGCGAGAGGGAGGGGGACAGCCACAGTCACGGCTGCAGCAGTGCCCGACCCCCACCGGTAACCCCAGAGCAAGCCAATGGCTCCTCTCGCTTGGGTACACGGGCATCCCAGGGAAGGCTCTGACTGGCCTGGCCCGGGTCACGTGCCCGTCCCTTTGGACGGGGTCCAGGGGAGAGGCCGCCCCAGAGGAAGGGAGGAGGGGGGAAGGGATGCCGAGCACATAGACCACAGATGTTCACCTGTCTGCCGTTTACTGAGCACTTACCCGTCAGGCCTTGTGTTGGGCATCGGGAGGAAACGGGCCAGAGAGGGCGAGGAGCCTCTCGGGCGGCGCACAGCGGGGAAGGTGGCAGTGCCAGCGTCGAGCCCACGATGTTGCGGACCTGGCACCACCTCTTCTCGCACGTGGTGATTTGTAGCTGGCCGCAAACGCAGGACGGTGGGGCTGGCGCTAAGACCCCCGTTCTGACCCCACCGCGGGGTCCTCGCGGGAAGTGGGAGGGGCGGGTCCACGATTGTTTTCTGGAGCCGCTCAGTGCCCCGGCACCGGCGTGCTGCTGTGGCGGTGGTGACAAGCCCGCGTCTGCTCCGTGTGCAGGAAACTACAACCTCACGAGCGTGCTGCCCACCGCGCCCGACATGGCCCAGTTTAAGCAGGGAGTGAGGTCCGTTGCTGGAAAACTCTCCGTCTTCGCTAACGGAGTCATGACTTCGATCCAGGTTAGTGAAACTGGATGGCGTTATCTGGGTGTGATGGTGGGTTCCTGGGTTTGAAAATGAGATTTGGACCACTCTGCAGTTGCTAGAAAATTAGATTTCATAATATTGATTTGTATGTTTGCTACGGTGTAACCCAGGACATCGTAAAAAACAGACATTATATTTTTTTATTTGTTTAAATTTTCTAATTTAGGACTCTAGGGGAATTGTTACAGGAATTATGATTATTCACTTTTTTGCTATATCGGAACAGAGAAATATTAGAAGAAAATAAAAAACGACCCACAATCTCACCTCACAGTGGAAGCATCTGTTAATATTTTGGTATATTTTATTTTAGTTCTAGATTTCCATGCATTCTTTTTATCTTTGAAAAGATAATCTGTGCATATAAGCTAACACTGTATATGTGGCTTTATATCCTGTTTTTCCTCCATGACGTTTTGTTATGAGCATTTCCATATAATTAAAAATTCTTCAAAAGCCACATTCTATTGAGTGAAAATACATATAATTTATTTAACTATTTTCCAAGTGGATATTTAGATTATATTCCAACCTTTTAAATAAGGCCAGGATGGACCGTTCTTGTATGTAACAATTTAAGGCCGTCTCCAATTATGCAAAAGGCTTATCTCGTGAACCTTCTAGTTGATGTCACGTTATTTTAAAAAGATGCAATTATGAGTGTAAAACATGGCCGTGTGGAGTAGGACCTAATCGACATGGACCCTGGTGCCTTTGGGGTTCTCAGGTCCGGGTGGGGTGCCCCCAATCTGGGGGGTTCCCTCAGCCCCGAGGCTCCTGCTGTTCCCCTGCAGCTGCTAACTTAACCTTTGCTGGGCATGCACAGAGCTCCTTCATATCCCCGAAGTCAGCTGAGCCCACATCAGCCCTTCGAAGTAGGTGACATCCCCAGTTTGTGGATGATCACCCCGTTTTATAGTTTGCCCCCTTTGACATCCCCGTTTTGTAGTGAAGGAATGGGGGCACAGAGAGCTTACGTTGCTACTGTAAGATCACTCAGCTGAGCCAGAATTTCAAGGTTCAGACTCCAAATGTGTCCCCTCGGCCCCTTCCATCCCCCTCCGTTCCGGTCACACTTGCTGCCCAGAGGCCTCGCCCGCTGGCCTCGCGTGCCCGGACACCTTGCTCCCAGCCTCATAGCCCTGCCCGCCACCCATGGGGCGGCCACAGAGCGGGGTGGGATGTTAATCAAGTCAGCTCCACAGGCCTGGCGGTCCTGGGGTGGGTGGGCGCGCCCACTTCCAGGCGCTCACACCCTCGGGCGCAGTGTCCGTGAGGTGCCAGATGGGCAGCGTGTGGGTCGCTGTGCGTGGGACAGAGGGACTGAGGCTGAGCGCTGATGACTTTCGCTTGGGTTCCCTCCAGGATCGCTACGGGTCTTAAAGTCGCCGTGCGTGTTTCCGGGCAAGATCCCTCTTCTGCGCGGCCGCGGCCACGCTGCAGACGGCAGTGACGACCCGCCAGTCTGCAGACCGTTCTGCTGCCTTTTCCCGTGGTATCGACGCGTTACTGACCTTCACCGTTCCTTCTGACGCAGTAGAGGCTCCGCTGTGGTTTGTTCCGTGCTCCTTCCTGCGCATGCCTGCTTTTGGCGTGTTCATGCACATCCTTGCTTTATTTTCTTGGAATCTTTAGTTCTAACAGTTGGGAGCGTGGGGACACGGGTCCCTCCCACCCTCTGAGGACCAAGGACTGAGAACCTTTGTCTGGGGGGTTAGCTCGTGTGATTCATGGGCCAAGGGTCACCAGACCCAGCCGATGCTCGCTGGGCCTGAAGAAATAAAATTCACAACACACATTTCATTACAAAGGGAGCAAAGAATAAAAACAAAAGACCAAAAATGACCAGTGTCTAACGTGACAGATTGCTCCATTTATATTTCCACCTACGAAGGTGGTTTCCAAATAATGTTTAAAGTCACCCGTTCTCTTGTGAATTGTTTACTTTGTATGATCTGTAAGTTTAAAAATAATTTTTAGTGAGTGCTTTTAACAAACCTAAGCTCCTGCACTGCCAAGGGAATTCGTCTTTTGACAAGGTGTTGCTGTTTGAATTTATGCGAAATGTAAAATGAGAATCCCCAAGGGCATTTACAGACCAGTGCAGCACACAGAATTAGAAATGGGTAAGGCAGGAAGGCGCACCCCGAAAATGTTTCAGCGTGTGGGAAAGTAGTTGTTATAATTGGGTAGTTTGTTAATATTTTTTATCTTAATCTGGGTTTTCAAAAAAATTACAGAATGTGTATAAACGAATAAAGAAAACTAATTTGGCTGTGTTTTAGACAGCACTAGAATATAATGTTCAGCACAGTAAAATATATTTGAAATTCAATGAACCAGAAATGTGGTTTCAACTGAGTATTTTGTGAATCTTTCTTAAATGCTCATATTTGTAGACTTCTAAATAAACAGTTGCAATAGATTGCGTTGCCGACTCTTTTTACAAAATCTTTTGAAATGTATCATCGGAAGTAAGGACTCGTGGTATAACATTGACATATATTCGAATGATGATATAATTACCAGTGGATCTGTTTTTAATGTATGTTTGGGGCACGGCGTGCAGTTGTCATTAACCGAGATGTCTGTAGCACAGTGGTGGCGGGGTTAGGGGTCCTTGCTGAAAGTGGGCGTGCAGGGTGGCATCTTTCGAGCCCAAAGGGCTGCCTTAACAAGATACCACAGGCTGGGGCTTAGACAGCAGAATGCGTTATCTAGCCCACAGTCCAGGAGACGGCAGTGCAAGGTCAAGGTCCCGTCAGGGTGGTCTCTGGGGAGGCCTCCCCCGGTCTGTGGAAGGCCACCTTCTCTTTGTCTCGCGTGGACTTTCCTGGGAGAGAGCCAGAGTGGGGAGTGGGAGGTGGGGGAT